AAATCCTCTAAAGAAGTGTATAACTGGAGTGTTAAACTACAAAATCAGCTAAAGAAAGGTATAACTGGAGGGTTAGAGAAGAAATTAGAAATCCTCTAAAGAAGTGTATAACTGGAGTTTTAAACTGCAAAATCAGACTCTTCTAAAGGAAGGTACAACTGGACTGTTAGAGAAAAATTAGAAATCCTCCAAAGAAGTGTATAACTGGAGTGTTAAACTTCAAAATCAGACTCTTCTAAAGGAAGGTACAACTGGAGTGTTAGAGAAAAAATTAGAAATCCTCTAAAGTAGTGTATAACTGGAGTGTTGAACTACAAAATCAGACTCTCTATATGGAGGAATTTAAAGAGAGATACTCCCATCATCAATATTTTGGTCGGATGTTCCCTTTCCTGTTTTATATATTTCATTATACAGTTCGTTTTTATTTAGATATAAATAATTCATCTTTATTTACCTTTATTGAGGTTTTGAAGTGAAGCTGAGCCACAAAATACCAGTCCCTTGTTGCTAACGAGCTGTAACACAGCCACTTATGTTTTATAAAAACTTCAAGCGTTCAAATGTATTTAAATTAATAGATGAAAACGTCGCGATACAAACCAACACGAGAAGTATAATCGATAAGTCTTACCATACTTTAGTTTAAAGTGTGTATTTAATGTTTTCTGTCTGTAGCTAAAACTACTATAATAAAGTTTTATTGTGGTATTATAGTAGTTTTAGCTACAGACTGAAAACATTAAATACACACTTTAAACTAAAGTATGGTTAGACTTATCGATTATACTTCTCGTGTTGGAAGTTTTATCGTGGTAGTAAATGTAATAAAAAGTGAACAACTAATCAACATAAATTCTCAGACACTATCTAATTCAACAGCAACTTTTCATTAAAATTTTCATTATGTATTGTGTAACCGTAGTCTAACAGTTGCACGTGAAAGCTATTCAGTCTTGGACTGCACTTTCGTCGCCGTTAAACACAGCTGCTAAATGTCACTCATAACAAGTTAAAAAAATCTGTTAGTTCAGGGTAGCAGCCTATAGAGCAAGTACAACAAAATATAATAGTTTTATTTTTATGCTTCACCCTTTAACGTGATTGTTTGGTTGGAAAGACGTCACATGCATCATAAAACAACTGATGAATAAATTAAGCTTCGTCTTTATTGTTACTAGTATCATTGCAATTAAATTTATGTTCGCTTTATAACAAAATCTTTATAATTATTTTGTCGAAATAAACTTTTCTTGCAATTGTATCGAACAACAGATTATTGTCAAGTGCAATAATTAACAGCATAATTTTTGTTTTAGTTTAAGATTTTTTTTTATTTATGTTTTAGTTTAACTTTGGTGGAAGCTTTTTGCAACACATATACTATCTTTGTATCTAAACAGAACTGTGCTGCCATCTGTTGACAAAAAAAATACCCATTATGTAGCTTTGTGCTTAACAATAATCAAACTAGTATTAAAAAGACCTAACATCAGTTCAATAGATCATTTTAATTATGAATCCGTATTTTAAAGTCTTTCTCTAATAATTATCTTCAAGCAACTTGTTAAGGCTCACTCCTAATAAAGCCAAGTTTGTTTTTCTCATATACTTTATTTGGTTTGTTAATATAAACCGCAAAATGTCTGTCTTCAGGAAAGTATGGTTATAAAAATTAATAATAGATCTACGTAAATACTCTTGTATTGTTACATATATGTTACAAGAATACGCTCAAACTGTGAAGAGTCAACTCTTAGAGAATAAAGAAGAATTAAAAGTAAAGATTTATTTATTCCCACTTTTTCTTCTTGTAGCATATAGAACGAGCTGGAAATTAGACTCATTAAATTAAATTAAGTTTAAAAGAAAATACGATATAAATTTCAATATATTCTGAGATGTAATTTTATTTTGTAAACCCACTTCACTGAAATTTTACTAAACAAATCTGATACCTTAATGAAATAGCAAGCGTTCGATTGGTACAAAGCGGTTTACTTATACATAGTACGGCAGTCGACAGTTCCTGTTCACAAACACGAACAATGGATTATATTCAATATTTTCAAATACGATCGAGACTATTTAAAACATTTTTTTCTCTCCTCACGAAGATTTTGCAACTTCTGAAGAACTAAATAAAATCTCTATAATTACTTGTATAATAGTAATTTATCTTCGAGTCATTGACATTTGGTAAGAGTTTTTATACGTTATTCTTCCAAAACACTGAGCGTTAATTCTATTTTTGGTTTGTGTTTGTGCTTTCAAATTTTTCAGTTCGTCATCCATAAAATTTAATGGAAGTTATTGTTCGTAAAAACATTTAACAAATAGTGGATTATATTAAATATTCTGAAAGAATGTTTAACCTTACAAGGATTATTTGCTTCTCACAACAAATTGTGGCGAGTAGTGGACTATACTAAATATTTTGAAACAATGTTTAACATTATTGGAAGTATTATTATTCTCCGCTCACAAATAGATGATTATGTTATTTTTTTAAAACATTATTGGAAATATATTGTTTTGATATCTACTGATGATTTAAATGTTGACAATATAGCATGTGATGCGAAATAACCCAGTGTGTTCTAAAGTAAAGACACCAGTAACGTTTCTGTTCATGCTTCAAAAGTATTAATACAACAATATTTATTCAATAAATAAGAATAAACTTTACTTTCCATTATTTATATTTGTCACATTCGATAGAAGAAAAAACAAACCTTAAAACATAACTACAGTCAACATATCAAGTTCTAAGATTATTTCTAAACCATTCTGAGCCAACACACTTTCACAAATATAAAGTAAGATTTGTTTTCAATCATTAGTGAAATTATAGAATAATAAGAAAGAAACATGTAACATAAAATTCAAAATGATAAAATGTATATATTCAAAACATTTTCAAGCTAATATGATCCCTAGTTTCTGTACAGAAGTAAGAATTATGTTTATTATTAATATCATTTACAAGTTCATATATCCAACACGAAAGGAAACTTCGATAGTAAGAAGCAAAACAAAATCTAGTCGTATCTCATATTTATGTTGATTTCTAACTCAAAACGTTTGTGTTTACAAAAGCTGAGTTTACTACATTGATACCTGCTTTTGGCATCTGATTTAATGTTATTATTTCCTTAAGTTTTTAAAGCAAAATCTATTACCAGTGCTTCAAGAAGAAAATAGAAAATAGCTCAATAAGACATTCACGAGCATCGACTTTCGATATCATAACTTGTAGTATAACGCCAGTTGTTTTCATTGAATAAGAATATTACTATTTTAAAAAAACCCTTATTTTGAAACTACATAAACATTTGTATCTATAACTGTCAGTTATTATTATTATTACAAATTTAACATCTCGTTTTATCAGAGTAACTTCTTAAATACTTCAAGATATCCCAATATTTTCGGATATCTTGTTTATTTGCTGAATTCCGTGCAAAGTTGCTCGACGTTTATCCGCACTAGCTGTCCCTAATTTTGAAGTGGTGGACTAGAGAGAAGGCAGCTAGTCAACAACAACTATCGCTAACTTTTGGACTACTCTTTTATCAACGAAAACTAGGATTAACCGTCACTTTATAACGCCCTCGTGGTTGAAAGGGCAAGCGTGTTGGATGAAAGGGTTCGAACTCGCGACCCAGAGATTGCAAGTCGAGCGCCCTAATTACGAGGCTAAGCCAGCCCTTTTAAAAAAGTCAAGAAAATAAAAATTGTAATTGATTTTCATTAATATTAAATTTTAACTATTTTTCAATAGTGGGCTTAGTCGTGGGTTTAGTGGAATTTTGCACCGCTAATCGTACAATAATGACATTGTCCATGTGAAACAAGTACAGTTTTTATCTCAAGAAAGGTGACATGTAGGCTAATGATGACATTTTTATTAGATTCAAGAAAAATGTCATGTGGGCCAATGATGACATTTTTATTACATTTAAGAAAAATGTCATGTGGGCCAATGTTGACATTTTT